GCCCTGCCGCGCCGCCCGGGAGAGCGGCTTCCCCCGCCGGCCTCACCGCCCGCCCGCGCGCGCCGCGCCGACCCCGGGTTCTCTGCCGGACTCGGGAGACCCGGCTGTGCCCGACGTGTCGTGAGCTTTGTGTGAAGAAGCCCGACGGGAGCGGCTTTCGCTCTTAATAAAAAGTTTTTCTAAATCTCAGTTTGTAGAAAATTTTCTGGAGTTTGCAATACTCTACCTCTTTTCTCCTGCTTGTAGAGTACTTTTTTTCTTCAGCCGTAAACGTTATTTGCTATAACGGAGCAGAACAGGGATGAACATTTTGTGATTGAAAGTGTTGCAGACACGTCGAAGCAGCATCAAGATGGACAAAAAGTCCTTCGAAACTGTGCTGGATGAAATCAGAAAGGTAATTACACTTGACTCTTTAAAGTATGCTACTTGCCATGGCTTAATTTCTTGGGCGGATTGTGTAGGTTGCACAGTCCTGCCCTTGCCAAGTTGGGTTGAGTTCCCGCCGGGAATGCAGGAGCTTGTACCTTTCACGAATGGGAGTTACGCTAACACAGCTTGAGACTCGGTCTGGTGTTGTGGAAATTATATTCAGTCTTTGGCTCTGAAAGTGCTCTACATTGTTTAATTTAAATCTTTGCAGTTGTGGATAAGTAATTAAACATTTCTGAGTGTTTCCTCATCTTTCATTTACAGGAGAATGACAGCTAGAACTCTTTGAGAGTCTCTTAGGGATTCACCGTCAGCGTATTGAATTTTAAACAATATCTTGAATTTCAAAACTTTTTCTCCTGCATTCTGAGTTTTTTGCTTCTTTTTGAGTTTTGTGTGAATCCTACCTCCAGGCATGAACCAGACGACATTAATTTTGGAGTGTAGTCTTGAGCTCAGCAGTATCACAAGTACAAAAACAAGAAAGAACTTTACCTTTTTAGATCTGAGAGAACTTGATGAACCGCAGGTACATCCACCCCATGTGCCTTGTTCAGGCTTGCCTGGCGGTCACTATTTCATACCTTTCTGTCTCTTGACCGACATAATAGGAGTTACTGCTCTTTGCTCTGGTGCTTGTTTCAGCTTAGAAAGTTACTGCTGAAATTGTTTCTGGACTTGCTGATTTATTTAATTTTTTTATAATGCTTTTTTTTTCAAATTGACATGTTTGATTTTCACATATTTGAGAGAATTGAATATGCTTTTTTGAGCAAATTTCTACTTAACACAAATCCATGTTGCCCAATTAAAATTTGAAACAAAATGCCAGTTGGTTGAGTACTTAGCATTTGTAACAATTTGTTCAAGAGCAGTTTTTTTTTTTTTTTTGTTTTGTTTTGTTTTTCCTTTTAATGATGTTTATAGGAAAATACTTTGTGAGCTCAGATTTCTACTTTTGGATGAAACAGTGTCCATGTGCTTTTTCTTTCTTTATTATGTACTGTGAAAATGTCTCCTGGTAGATAGTAGTGAGGGGATAATAGTGATGATTTCCCAGAGGCGAAAGGTACTTTCATATAAGATGGCAACATAGGTCTATATTTTTGTTCTGCAGTCACTACTTGCACGCTTTGTCAAGTGATGAGATGCATAAACGTTGTAGTCGCCTATTAGGCATTATTACTGACTTCATCTTAATTCCTCTTAGACTGTGTAAATGTGGGTTCAAGCTGACATTTTCCTGCTTGTCTCTTCTCCTGATTGTCACTCTAGGAAACCGTTGTGGTTAAAGCAAAAAAGCATGTAATAAGACTTTAGGAAAAGAAATAAAAATGCAAAAAAAGTGGTTGAGTGCTTTTGAAGGAGGAGATAATGCCATCAATTAGTGAGCCAGAACTTGTTTGATTTGGTTGCCCTAACAACCCAAGAACTAGATCCTTCTAATTTTACAGCTGGTAGATCTAGTCTCTGAGGTTAAATAGGCGGCTAGTCTGCACAAGGCTACACAGCTGGTGGGTGGGGCCTGATGCTCAGTCCGAGGCAGTCTTCACTCCAGAACTTGATGATCTTGAGGATACAGCTGTGCCTCTGAGGTGTTGATGAAAGAACTGGAACATGTCAAGGCATCAACACTGTCCAGAATTTAGTCCAGAAGTTCACTTTTTACCATGAAGCATATTCCTTGTGCATTACCCAGAATGCCATTTTTGTCATTCCAGTGAGAATTAAAATATTGAGCACCCTGAATGTTTAGTTCACTGGTCTTAATATTTTCTACTACTAAAATGATGCACAAGTACGTGGAAGGTACAACTGTTTTATACAAGACCAAAAGGATTAGGGTTTTCCTTTTTGTTTTAAGGGTTGTTTTGTTTTACAGTGATGGTAATGTCACCCAGGTGAGGCACATGCGAACTTTTCAGTTAGTTTATTTTTTATGGCTAATAGCTACCAAACTGGTAGCTTGATATTTCCATTTCTGAGATTGGCAAATAGCTGCAAAGCGATCATATTACTTCATTTATCTCTAGATACTGTTAGATTTAGGCCACTACTTTCTCTCACTTACAGATTCCACATGGAAACATGACTAAATACGTATTAGGTGTCGGATCTGATATTGACTATTGTAATCCTCACAGTGTCTCCTCTAGGTGGGTGGTGAACAGCTGTGTGCTTTTATGAATGAGGAAATCCTAAAGGAATTCAGATGCCTCTCAGAGGCCACACCGCTAGTTAGTGGTAGAGACATTGATCTCAGGACCTATTGGCTGAGATCTTATGCTTGTAGAAACACTTGAGAGCCTCAACTAGACCTTGTGTTATTCTCTCTCACCTAGCACATAGTTGGCATTCAGTAATTGATGAATGATGCCTGATATATGTAATCTTAATACATAATTTAGTTGGACAGACGTTTTAGAATTCTTATGTGTAATTTGTACCAGTATTGACTCATTAGAATTTTATTCCCTTTCAGTTTTTGTAGGGAGAGTAAGGAGCACATCCTTTTGTCTTTTATACTATGAAGCTTGAGAAGGTGGAATGTTTTGTTACCACAGTGACTATAGCTGCTTTTGTATTCCAGGGCCAAAAGAGACCTGTCACTGTTGAGTTGCTTGGGTAGTTTTGATATGTGCATATCACTGTAGTGCTTATATATGTATTAATGCTGCTTTTCTTTCTTTTTAGGCTGTTTTAACAGAATACAAATTAAAAGCAATTGAATATGTGCATGGATACTTCTCTAGTGAACAGGTATTTCTTATTACTTGTTTTTAAGTAACTCCTTTTTAAATAACTCCTTTTTGCACAAATGTTCTGGCTAATGTCTGGTTACCCTGCTGAAGGAATGCAGAACTTTTAAACTTTTGTTGTATTTAGCAACTTTTGATGCTTTGAATTTGAACATAAAACTACAAAATTTATAGGTCAGGCATATTGTATAAACCCATCCACTTTTGCTAGAATTCTTATTCTGAAATGATTTTAAAATACATTGTCTTAAGAAAAGAAAAAGAGCATTTCAAACCTTTATTCTAGGCACAATATAAAAATGTGTAAGGTTGTAATGTGAACTTATTTATATAGTATCTTAATAAAATAATTATAAAATCTACCCAGTATAAAACTTGAATAATTGAATGAAACATGTTCTTATATGAAGCTACTAAACAAAAAGTTAGTAGCAAAACACACTGTTACTGCCACAAGATGACTAGTGTTTTAGATAAAATAGTTTATTCAGAACTTTCATTCCACTTTAGGGAGTCTCGGTAATTTTAAGAAAAATGGTACACACACAAGGAGTGTTTCTGAGAGACATTAGGGTAATTTTGGGTGGAGAGATTAGGTAGAAATAGGAGTGGGCATCTGGAGAGCAGTCCTGGAGTGTACAGTGAATGGACATAGAGTCAGCAAGTGCTCCAGTTGTCATTTCTCCAGAGCTTAAAAGCTTAACCTGAGCAAATTCTGCCTGCTGACGTCTCAAAGTTATGATTTGTACTTGTCCTGCCTTTTAATGATAGTTTTCCAGCTTTTCCACTGCTTTACTAGTCACTTTTGCTCTTTTTAAAATTGAGGTTTTGAAAATATTTGTAAGTTCTTACAGCTGACAGTTTTTGTCCACAGTTGTTTATCTGTATATATATATATGTGGCATTTGTGGTGTATTCCTTTGTGGTGCAAATTTTTCTTTGCCAAAGTCTTTATAGACTTTATTAAGCCACTTTCTAATTGAGGTATTTTAATTCACTTATATTAAAGATTGATAGTTTGTTTTATGGTTTGTAAAATAATACTCTTTTTATATAGTAGAAATGCTGTTTCCATTAAAGTAAGGATAGGTACTCTTTCCAGAATAACTGGAATGCTTGTTTGTAATAGCAAACTATTATTTGTTTGCTGGTTGTATGATTCTTTATAAAAAATGAAAATATTTTTACTTTCTTCACATGCTACTTCATCCAGCTTATGTCATTGACTTTGCTTTGTAGAATAATTAAAACTATAGTACATTTTCTGGTACTTACAGTAAAAATGATTAATACAGAAACACAAATTTCGGCTGGGGAGATAGCTCAGCAGTTTAAGCACCTGCCTGGCAAGCGTAGGGACTCAAGTTCAATCCCCAGTACTGTGCTGGCCATAAACACAAATTTCATTTTTTTTTTTTTTTTTAAAGTTCACCATCCCTGAGAGGCAGGGTAATGACCATGCCATAACTTTAATGTTACTTAAATGTATTTAGTACAGGGTCTACAGGGTGTCTCTAGACAGATTGGACTCCTAGTGATTCTCCTGTTTTCAGCCTCCAAGCTCTGGGATTACCGGCAGGGTGGGTGCCACCACATCCAGTCTCAATTGCTCCCTGGGAGTGGGGACCGAACCCCACCCCCTGCACCTGCCTAAGCAGGCCCTTTAATCAGCTGAGCTATTTGGCAGGCCCTCAAAGTTGTAATCTTGATCCGTGGCTCATCTCTTGCTAGCTTTTCTTCAGTGTTTCCCCCATTCATTTCTCATCTTTGGTGGTGGGTGATGGCAGGAGCCAGCAAGAGCTTGGGTATGTAAGCTTTCAAAATGTGACTCCATGTAGAAGCTGCTGTGGCAAATCACATTGGTTCTTATGCTGTTAGACAGTAGATCTGTGACATGAGTGGTATAAGTGAAAGAGTAGAAGTTAGTCTATAATAAATTGTAACATCACAGCATTGTTAGTAATTAAAACTCTCACTTTCCATTATATTACTGTTATGGTTTGTGTATGGTTGTCCCCCCCACACCTCATGCAGTCATGGGGTGGACTTGTAGAGTTTGTGATTCACTCATGATCCACTGGGATTGTGGGTGTGAGTGCTGCATCCAGCCTGGGGCAGATGGCTGAATGCAACATGAGGGAGATAGGCTTGCTCTCTGTGGCCATTGTTGCCGCTGGCCCTCCCATTTTGCTCTTGCTGTTTTGCTCTTTGCCACCACCATGAACGGCTGTTCTCCCCCATGTGCCACTCTGCCTTGGAGCCAGCTGAGTATGGACAGAAACCTCCACTGTAAGCTAAATAGCCTTTCCTTCTTTCATTTTGGGTGTCAGGTATTTGTGCCAGCAGTGAGAGAAGAGTAACGGAGACAATTGCATTTTCCATTCATAGTGCATCTCTATATTCCTAAGCTGTCATTTTATTTTTACCTGGTACTACTCAACCTCTTGTTCTTATTTACTGTTCTTACTAAGATACCTTCTTTTTACTCCATCAGTATTTTCCCTTCTACACTGCTACTAACCAAGATAACTTTTTCCATGGCATTGTTATTTTAAGAGATTTATACTTACATAACCACACATGATAATTCTGTTGGACAGTCTTGTCTATGTTCTGAGGCCTTGCCTGTCACCCATACATAGGCTGCTTGTATTTAATAGAATTCCAAGTACTAAAATCTTAAAGACATACTTGCAAGCACACTGTCATTTGAGCTAAACTAGTTCTTTTCTTGCAGGTCGTTGATTTACTGCGATATTTTTCCTGGGCTGAGCCTCAATTGAAAGCAATGAAGGCGTTACAGCATGTAAGTTATTTCTGTTTAGAATATTGTGTTTAAGTAATGTTATTCTCTCAGTTTTCCATAATTTATCTCAAGTTGTAATTTGTTTATATCAGAAAAAACTAAACGGCCTGTATGTCCTCAACAGATGAACAGATAAAGAAAACAGTATTATATACCATGGAATATTACTCCACCATAAAAAGATAAAGTTGAGTCACTTGAGGGAAAGCACATGCGATTTAAGTGAAACAAGTCAGACAAACAAGCTTAAATATTGCATAGCATCTCAAATGAAAAGCTCAGATTATAAATAAAGGACAAAATAAAAGATAATAGGAAGTAGGGTTACAGATCTTAAATGGGAAGGGACGCGAGGTGGAGAGGTCAGAGGAAAACAGGATCAAAAAAAGAATTAAGATTTGTTATGTGCACGTACCAGTTCCACACAAGCAATATAAACATGTCCTAAACACATACTAATTTTTTTAAAAAACTTTTAGAAAATTTATATTGGGTACAAGTAGCATGTAATGTATTATTAAATTATGTACCATAATATCTTAATTGGCCAATTGGAGGGAGAGTATTCATTGCCAAGCAAAATAAATAAATTGAATTCTTAAACATCTTTATATACTTTGTTTAGTATCTGTGTTCATTGTTTTGTACTTATTCTAAGAAGAGTCATAAAACAGATTATAGTTAATAGTTCTTTTGGCCTATACTGTCCAAGTAATGTTCAGTGACAATCTGAATCTGTCCAGGCCATGTTGGTGGCCATGTAGCTGCCAAACACGTAATGGTGTATACAGTCACTTTGAGGAACTATATTTCTAAGTTTCATTTACTTGAAATTATTTTAAATGGTTTCAAGTTCCTAGTGGCTGCTGCACAGTGTAGAACTTAGATCATTGGAGGCATTTAGATCAAACACGAGGACCTTGCTGTAGAGGAAGATTTCATAGCGAGTACCAGGCACTGACAGGTTTAGTGGAAGCAGGTTAGAGTAGCTTCTCAATACCTGAACTGATCTGCCTAACAAAGTGTCTGGGTCTGTTCTTTCTACCTCTCTAATAGTTACTTCTGTTTTATGAAGAACAGGATTCTCTCTCATCCTTGTGAAAGTCTTTGCTCGTACCAGAGACAAGCAAAACAAAGAGCTCTGTAAGAAGTCTTGCTGTGGGTTTTGCCTTATTGTAAGGATAACAAATTCATAATAGCTTTGAGGCCCACTTGCTTGTCAACCTACTTGAAAATTAAAATTCTAAATTAAATTGAATGAAATTAAAAGCTTGTGGCAGGGACAAATCAGTAGTTATTTGTATTACATTCTCAGCTTTTCTCATAGTCTGATTTGACTTTTCATACTAAAGAGTAATTTTATTGTATAAGGTTCTATAATGAGCATTTCTATAAATTAAATCTAAGGATTTTACAAATGCATAATTATATGTATGAAAATTTATCTTTACCTATCAGTTTAAAAATGCACAAAAGAGTACATAATTTTATCAATTCTTTTGGTAGTCCATTAATAAAACTATTTGAAAAACATATTTAAAAATCTAGTATTATAGTACATGTTAACATAAGACTCTTAAGAAAGTTCAGTAGCAGAGAAGTCTGTTCACCTCATTGTTTCCCTAGCTTATGTGACTCGTGGGCCCTAACACCAAGGACCGCTCTGGGGGGCAGTGCTGATAAGTGGCATGCCTACTCTTACCCCAACTGGTACATACAGTTTTCCTCTAACTTCTCCTGTATGTATAAATACCATGTTTTGGAGGAATGTACTTGTTAACGTTATTAACACATTGAGAAAAATGGATAAAAAAGGAACCACAAGATAATTTGATCTTTATCTGAAATCTTACATTAAAAAAGCGTAAGTATAGTTCACAAATTTTTAGAGCTTTTGAGTTGCTGGGACTTACTCTTATACAAATCATTTTACCTTAATTGTATTATATTTCATCTAAGATGTTTATGTTAAAAATATTTATCTTTATTTTCCCTAAAAGGGAAATACTTGGTGTGAAAGCTTTGTGTTGAAAAATACATTGATTTTTTTTTTTTATGTTAATAGAAAATGGTGGCTGTTCATCCAGCAGAAGTGGTCAATATCCTCAATTGTTTCACCTTCAGTAAAGACAAGCTAGTTGCTCTTGAACTCTTAGCTTCGTAAGTATTTCTTTTTTCTATCTTGTTCAAGTTTGGGTGCTTTTCTAGCTGTCTCAGCTGTCTCTTAACTCACTGATGTGTAGTAATACATCAGAACCATATAAATAACCAGAATTCTGATCAAATACGGTAGTGAAAGAAGAATGATAAATTCTGATTTTTTTCATGTGCGTACCCAGTAACTTACAGAATAGTAGCACTTATGAAAATAATTTAATCAGTCTTTCCTGCATTGCAGTAACTTGCTTTGCTTTCACACTCTAAAAGACTTAAACGGCAAGTTGGTGAAGTCATAAGACTTAAACTGAGACCAAAGTTCTGCTACTTATGACACATTTTTGGGCAAGGTACCTTTATTTTGTGAGCCTTACTTTTCTCATTGGTAAAATAAGGATAACAGCTACTTAGGAGAGTAAAGCAGCTTAAATACCATAATCTTGTGCGAAAGTACTGAGTGCAGCATTTGATAGGCATTCATGCTGAGCGGGCTCAAGGAGAAAAGGAATGAATCTGATTCTTTGTGTAACTAAAGAGTGTAAGTCGAACATTCATTTATAGAACATATATTTTAAAATTCCTTGTGTATTTGTATATGTCCATTAAAATAGAGGATAAAGTAGGACTTTAGCCAATTGTTATTTTAATGCATTTAGTACATAGGTTGATTCTGTTGCCAAAGCTCTCTTAGCACTTGCTGAATAGGGTGTACATTCAAGACTCACAGAATGTGCTCGGTACTAGTGATTAAACCCAGGCATTCACACATGGTAGGCAGCCACTCATCACTAGCACCACTGAGCTCCGTCCTCAGCCCTTTTATAAGTTCTATTCTGAGACAGGATCTTGTTCAGTTGCCTGGCTGGCCTTAAATCTTCACTCCCCCTGCTTCAGCTTCCAGACAACTGTGTTGACAAGTGTGCACAGCCATGTACTCCTCTCAAAATGATGATTTGTTTATAGTGTTACTGTATGACTTTACAGTAATCCCATGGTTCAGTTATATCTATCACTGTTATGTAAACATTTTTATATAAACACTAAAGTGGCCTGTTAAAAGTAAATCCCATTTTCTCTTTGTATCATGGGAAAAATTAACTCAGCTATGTTTGTATAAGCAGAAGTTGCTGACCTTTATACTTTTTTTTTTTTTTTTTTTTTTTTTTAAGTGGAACAGGGGATTGAACTCAGGCACTTACGCTTGCCAGGCAAGCACTTATTTTGCTGAGCCATCTCCCTGGCCCTCATGTCCATGTCTTAAGCAAAATGCTAAATCATGTTTCCTTGGTAGGAATATTGTTGATGCACAGAATTCTCGTCCCATTGAAGATTTATTCAGGATAAACATGTCTGAGAAGAAACGGTGCAAGAGAGTACTTGAACAGGTAATTTTCCAAAGATTGCTATGAAGATGACATGCTGGTTTTTCTGAATGTCGTGAATAAAAAAATAACCATCTTCCCGTTAGCTCTGCAAATATGTTACACCAGCTGAAGAGTGAAAAGCCAGTTGGCCACGCCCTGAACCTCATGATGTGTTTATGTGTTGGACCCATGGTAGCACTTGGCCACAGTTCCAAGCCCTTGTTTTTAACTTCGTGTACTTAGGAAGTTGACTTTTCAAATTTGCTTTGTTATCAGGCTGATATTAATTAGATTGTAAGAAATTGATTGTAAAGAATGGATAGTAAAATGTAACTTTTATTCATTTAAAATCTACAAAAGTTGGGGTATAATACTTGTCCAAACCTAGAAAACTTGATTTGTCATTTAAGGTAGTAAGCTTCTAGAATTGTGATACTTGAGGAAGATGCCAATTGGTGACCCAGGCCTTGCAGCTAATACTACTCAATCCTTGCCACCTCTAAGCTTGGGAGAGTAGGCAACTCTGCCTCAGTCATGTGTTGTTATAGTGGGGACACACGGTCTAAACCAAAATGCTTTAATTTGATAATTTCCTCACTTAATGTTTCCTTGACTAAAATCTTGATGACAACAAACAGTGCAATCATTTTCTTCCTTAGGAAGCATTCTGTTGGTATCATTTTTCTTCTTGGATATATTCTGGAACTTTTTGTTTTGTGGGAATGGTCTCTGATTAATGTAAATTAGTACAGCTTTTCACAAAGTAAACCTGAAGAGCCATCCTAAAAAAATTTGTTCTTGCCTGGCAAGCACAAGGGCATGAGTTCAATCCCCAGTTCTGCCAAAAATAAAAATAAAAATAAAAAATAAAAATAAATAAAAAAATTTGTTCTATAGAAATAAGTGGAAATGTACAATTCCTATATAAGGGCATTTACCTAAAAAGACTTAAAATAGCCAAAAGTTGAGATGTCTTCTTAGTTATTTAATAGGGAAATAGATCATATAACTCATATAATTATGTGTTGTGAATGGATTTATAAAACTAATATAACTATGCAAAAATATATATTTAGCAGATACTTGTACATTTTTATGTAATTAGAAAACTGTATATAGTTTTACACATATCCAACATAAATGTAGCTACATACTAATCTACAGATGCATTGGAATACTTAAGAGTGATTTTCATTAGCTTAAAACATTACCAATTCAGTATGTGTGAGGCTTCATTTCAGAAGCTTAGGACTCAGTAATCATTAGCTTAGACCCAGTCCCTTCTTTCTCTGTTGTAACTGTAATATTGTTTTGAGCATTGTCCCCAGTCATTCTTGTCTGTTCACAAGGATAACTGCATGGACACTGTCTTCTGTTACTTGCGTTTCTCTCTGTTATAACTTCTTCAGAGCAAGGACCATGTCCCTTTCATCTTTGTGTCTTCCTTACCTAACCTGTACAATGAGTGTGGTATTTATAAATTTGAACTCTGTTATTTTTTTGTGGTTGAAATGAAACAGATTAGATAATAAGATTTTGCATACAATTTATAGAACCAGTTATAAAGATATCTTTGTTTAAAGGCCTGTTAGTATGGTGTTATCTTTTTAATAATTCCACTTAGAATGATACTATTTGTTATTAAGACATTTAAGTGCCACCTGATACATGAACAGATTGAATGTTTTTGTGGGGCTTCCCAATATCCAAAATACTTTGTTTTTCAATTTTTGTTATTGTCTTCCTTTTACATTGCAGGCTTTCAAGGGGGGCTGCAAAGCTCCCCATGCCATGATATCATCTTGTGGGACAATCCCAGGAAATCCATATCCCAAAGGAAAACCTAGTCGTATAAATGGAATTTTCCCAGTAAGCAAATTTTCATGACTTTTTATGAAACTTCTCATGACTAAGTGATATATATTGTAAGTTGATATTAAGAGCATCTGCAAAGAAAAGGAAAAAAAAAATTCATTACATTATCAACATCATTCCTGGGTTCAACATCAATTTAAAGTTCTTATTTGGGTAAAATCTTCAGAACCAACTAAAAAAGCAAGATGATTATGTTTTGTTTTGGGATCTTTTAGAAGTACTGGTTTATATTTGGTAGAACATTTTTCAAATTCTCAGTATTTTTTAGATAGTTTCATCTTTAAGAATATTTGAGAGGCTTTTCACAAGAGTCCTTCCTGAGAATAATCACATTGCAAAATAAAGCTGCTGAAAAGTCCTGAAAAAATGAAACTTGTTTTTAATATCATCTGGTGCTCTCAAACCACTTTGTAAAATACTTGCCTAAAGTTCCAGTGACTGAATAACAAGTGACTGAAGATGGTTGGGCGATAGCTGGTGGTCTAAGCACCTGCCTGGCAAGCACAAAGTCCTGAGTTTGCTCCTCTGTACTGACTGCCATGTTGGCCCTGGAGCCCCAGGTGCGCTTTGCTGGCCACCAAGACTGGGTGTAATGGCACATATCTGTACTCCCCGCACTGAGGAGGCTGAGCCAGGAGGATCAGTAGGAGTCTGAGCTGTGTAGCGAGACCCTATGCCAAGTAAATAATAAAAATGAAAGATATGTATATATTTAAAACAAGAAAACAACTAAAGAGCTTTATGGATTATACAACCATGAACATTTATTATTCTTACTTAGTTGTTTTTAATATATCATGAACCTGAGATTGGCTAAGCTCATTAGTTCTTGCTAAGGGTTTCCTGAAGTAATGCATTCATCTGAAAGATGGATTTGGAGCCAAAGAATGTTTTTTAAGGTTGCTCATTCTCTTGCCTGGCAAATTATTGATTGTTGGCAGCAGGTGTGTGTTTGGGTCACAAGGACTTTTTCCATAGTGTTTGACTATTCTATGGCAGGGCAGCTAGTGGCTTCTCTTGGTTCATCGAGTCCAAGAGAGGCCAAATGGAAGTTTCAGATCCTCTGATGGCTTTTGGTTGGAAGTTAACTGCCATGATTTGTGCAATATTCTGTAGTTACACAGCTCAGCCCTTTTCATTAGTGACACGGGGCGGCCCTATCTCTTCTGTGACAGGACTGTATAAGAGCACTGAGATATGGATCAGGGGGAGGCCATCTGATAGGTTGGTTCCCATTTTCATCATAATGTGGTTATTTTTTAATTTCATTTGGGTTTTTTGTTTTGTTTTTAAATTAGAATTTTTTGCTTTGTTTTATTCATAAATAGGGAACCCCTTTGAAAAAAGATGGTGAAGAATGTACCAATGAAGGCAAAGGAATAGCTGCACGGATACTTGGACCATCCAAACCAGTATGTTTAGAAAAATAAATGATAAAACGTTTTAATTCTTGATACAGGAGGCCAGCCCCTTAGCTCACTTGTTTAAGTGCCTGCTTAAACAAAGCAGTCAAGCTCAGGCTGCTGTGGTTAAACCAGAGCTACCCTGAAGGCATCCTGAGCCCACAAAAAAAAAAAAAATTATTAGTATAGTTTTCTATCTACTCAAAGAGTTAAGTTTTTGTATTGCGAAGTTTCAGTATAAGAGAAGTTCTACAGGAGAATGGCCTAGGGCAGGGGCTGCAAAACCTTGTAGAGTGTTCAGTGATGTCAGTAACCAGCCTCAAAGGTTCAGCACCATTGGCCTGAAGATAATTAGAAGTGTGATGAGTCTTTCAGGTTGCTGGTTTTATTGTGAAGTGGGATTAGTAAAATTTTTCTCTTGCTGTGTCTACACGTTCAATTGTAGTATGGAGTGAGGTGTTTCAGGGTTTTAATTTGGCCAAATCAGTGTTAGCAAAAAAAATAGAGCCAAGTGGTTGAAAATCTTTTCAAGAAAGTGGCTTCTCACTGGACATGAGAAGATGACATAAATGCTAAGTGCTTGTAGGAGTTGAAGGACTAGAGGCCTGTGTGCAGCCCTTGCCCATGCACATAAGAGAATGTAGTGGCTGTTGTTATGAGACTTATAAAGGCACTCATCTCTTCCCAATTCTACTCTAAATGAGTATGTTCTCTATGGGTCAATGTGCAGAGTATGGATGGCTTCACTTCAGATATTCTGGTTCTCACATGAATACCATCAACTGTGGAAAAAGGATGTGTAGATTTCAAAAAGAGAGGAGAACTGAAATAATTTCTTAATCCATTGTGTATTCTGTGAGATTTACCAGAATGTCAAATAGTAAAGTAAGAAGTGCTTTATTTTGCAAAGAGGATGGCAGTGATAGGTTGAAGTCCTAATGAGTATAGGAAGATGTTGCCATTAAGGTTCTTAGGTAGGCAGCATTCCAAAATTACCTTAGTTACATGGGAGGAGATGACAGTTTTTGGATTAACATCGGCTAGATCAGAGAAAAGCTTCCTATTCAGGATAAGATCTAACTCTTCACTGGAGATGATAGGGTTCTGATATAAACACTTAGCCTCCTTTGGTAGGATCTGCCTTGAAATGTGATAGAAATCGCTCTTACTAGAAATTTCCTTTGTCTCATTTTAGTGTAGTAGTCTTAAGACTAAACATTTTGATAAATTTTGTTTTTCCAAAAGACGGCTTATTTGATTTTCTTCTAACTGCTGTACCTTCTCGCCTTATCTAGCCTCCTTCAACATACAATCCACATAAGCCTGTTCCTTATCCAATACCTCCATGCCGGCCACATGCTACTATTGCACCAAGTAAGGAGTCTTTCTACTTCTTTTTTGCTGTTTATTAAGTTAGAAGTAAGTACTAGAGTTAGTGTTTAGAAGACCTGCAGCCCTTATGGAGTTTATGACAATTTGATTTCACCCGCAGTGACTAGTATTAGCTTTAGTCAGTTTGGTCAGGGTATTCTCCTTATAAGTTAATTGTATGTTATTTCTAGTCATTTATTGTTATGGGTTTTCACTTTGGTAAATGGTAACCTTTTTTTGGTGGTTGGTGTTGAGAACTGTCATTAGTGCATTCAGTGTAGAAGAGTCAGGTGCTTATGCTGACTTTGAGTACGGTTGCTGCCTGCCTTGCTGTACAGTGAGCTTATGCCTGGAATGGTACCCAGTGGAAAATAGTAATCACCTATTGTCTTACTGGTCTCTATTTTCATTTAACCCTTGACTGTCATTTCCATGTGAGATCTAACTCATATGACAGTGATAGTATTAAGTATGGATTAGAACACTGGATAATACAATTTGAACTCCTGGTAGCAGACTGATACTGATTGTATGTATTTTTTTCTTATTTTTATTTTATTTTTATTTTTATTTTTTTCTTATTATACTTTTACTTTAGGTGCTTACAATAATGCAGGTCTGGTACCATTAGCCAATGTCATAGCTCCAGGTGTACCCCCTCCACCTCCATATACTCCTAATCCAGTAGGAACAGGTAAAGTCATGTTATTGTGTGGTGTTGTGTATTATGTTGTGTTAACATGTTCATATGCAAACATCCATTTGGAGCAGGCAGTTGTATAGTGTGGTGTGTCCTAACAGTGGGAGCACAAGTTCATGAGTCTGACTTGTCAGAATATGAATCCCTGGTACTACCAGGCAGCTTTCATAATCTTGATGAGCTTCCATTTTACTATTTGTAATATAGAGTAATAGAATAACATTTTAATAATACTGTTCACTATACTGTAATACCATGTTAACTCAGTTGTGTCCCAAATTTTCTGATCACAGAGATTATGGGGCCACAGAGCAATGTGATCAATGATGTAGAGTGTGCCTAAGGAGGGTCACCTGGGGAGAAAACATTCTCTCAGGCTTTCACAGAGAGCAAATTGGTCAAGCAATGGCCGTGACTCATCCACATGGCTGAAACTGACAAAGGTTGTGCAAACTGCTGTACAGGGTTACAGGATAAATCCTGAGGGTTCTTGACTGACCTTATCAGATACAAAAGTTACATTTCTTGTTATATAGGTCTTGCTTTATCTTGGTCTTAACCATCCAGCAAAAAAATGTAAAAACGAGGTATATAAAGTAAAGCCGTATTAATATGCTGAGCTATGAAAGGCTCAAGTCAACAAATTCTGTGGATAACTCACTACTGTTGAGGACTGCTGGACTGTGTTGGATTGTTTTGCTGAATTCATGCACCTATAGTATTTAGATGCCATTGTGAATACCCATCTCTGACAGGACTAAACAAAAAAAGGAGATACAAAGGAAGGACTATTTTGTATCTGTATATGGAGAATAGTTAAGATAGATATACAGCTACTTTCTCTTAATTCAATGAAAAAATTTGTACTAATAGTGTTTGGACAGGATATCCTGTCTGCATCTTGTACTGTGGATAACCACTAAGAAGATAACAATGTGCAGTGTACTAATTATTGAAATTGTCCTCGTAATCAGTTTTGAAGCTGTCTCATTGCTATTTGTTTCTCAATAAAAAAATATAAAATAAAGTATTAAGCCTGATGTAAAAATAATAATAATAATGTTCAGCTGGGCATGGTAGCATACACTTGTGTTCTCAGTACTTAGGAGACTGAGGCACAAGGGTTGCAAAGTTGAGGCCGGGCTGGACAACTTTGTAAGATCCTGCCACTTAACTAAATGAATAGTAATCAGTAATCCTTTCAGTTAATAGAGATGACCTTTTTAATGTGTTTTATGCTGGGGATTCCAGTATACAAGCAACCCTGTTTGTAGTGTGTTGTATTTCAAGGGTTCTAAATTATACATTTATTTATGGTTTAATTTTCCTAAAATTTGAATGTGCTTTATAGTAAATCACATCTTAGATTTTGAGGGCTAAGATAGAATGAGCAGAGTTGTGACTGTGTGTCTGCCGTGGACACTCACAAGAGGGGAATCCAAACTAGACCTATGAACTGCTTTTGTAATGTACTGTACAGTTTGTGGGCTCAGTAGTATGTCTGCCATTTAACTGAATTAAGTTCAGCTAAGAAGAGACTGGTAATAAAGTGTTGTATGAAGAATGATAAAGTGACAGTGAGGTGGTTTTTTTGTGACCTAGAGCTATTAGACATTTGTTAGAAGCACCCTCAATTCCCTACTTCAGAGATTGGGATTCAGTGATTTAAGGAGGACTATATTTATTTTGAAATGATATCCAGGTGACTTAATCTTCAAGCAAGTTTGAGAAATACTGGAGTCTGCACACAAAAAACCCAGAAAGAGTCAGAGTATCTGGGTTTTTTCAAGGCTTTTTGTTAACTACCAGATTGAAGAGAGCTAAAGCACTTTCTGCCTCCAAATCTTTATTGAGGGATCTTTAGGTACTTAGAGTAGATGTTTATCTGACTTACCAGGGGAGCTGAGCAAAGGAGCCTGTGCTCTAAGGCAGTTTATGCTGAGTGTATTGGTAGGGGGTGAAGAAGGTGGATTGGATACCCCATGCCTGGAAGAAGAGTGGAGGCAGCTGCAGTCTAGCCTGCTGTAGTCTAAAGTTCATTGCCAGGTGACGGTGGCCCTTTCACGTTTAAATGACATTAAAGTTCCACTTAGGTGCCCTTGGACCAGATGTGGAAACACGAGTAGGTTGTAGCAAAACTCATGAGCAGTGTGACAAGTCACTAAGAAGTACAGTGCCATTTGGGCATCATGGGTAAGAGCAGCTTGTAAAGCAGTCACAAGGGATGATATGCCCAGCACTTTGCATCTCAGTCTTATATGCATCTATTGGGAATGTGGGATATGAAGAAATGATATGGTAATGCAGTTTCAATATTACCAGCTGTTCTCCCAAAGCCCTGTACCAGCTTACACTGCCAGCAAGAGCATATGTGAGCAATTTCTTCACACCTTTTCAATATAGGACAGTATTAGTTTTTAATTTTGCCAGTCTGCTAGCATGATTTAGCGTACAGCTTTGGGTGCAGATTTTTATTAAAGTTTGATTCTTTATTGAGGTCAGTTTAATCAACTCAGAATTCTGAGTTTTGTGGCTTGCTTAGGATCTTCTTCCTTGTCCTGCCAGTTTGAAAATGTCTTACATATTCTCTGACTACTTTTGTAGTGATTTGCTTTAAATCTGCTGTCTTACTTAGAACCCATTCACATAGCACCTGCCCCCCTCCCAGGCTGCACTCCTGCAGGCAGTTGTGCCCGTAGTGGGTTGTGAGCTCAGGGGTGTCTTCTCTGCCTCTAGCCACAGCTGCACTTTGTCCTGGGTGGCACACTCAGATCCGTGTCTGCCAGGAAGGGTTAAATTGCTCTACAAAATTATAATGTGTATTTAAAACCTAACAAGTTAAGGGGAAGACAGCAGAATAGGACAGAGTGGAGGTAGAATGAACAGTTATTTATAATCCTCAGAGCTTATGTTTGTGATTTTTTTATTCTATGTGCATACTTCGTGTTTTTGACTATTCATTTTTGAGACCTATTTCTGATTCTTAGTGTGTTGAATAATTTGATTAAAATTAAAGTCAACTTTTATCTATTTTTATATAGAAAATGAAGACCTTTCCAGTCAGTCAAAACCTACACTGAATCAAAGTAAGTACCAAGTTTGATCCAGAGATCACTGATATGTGTCATGGTTGTCTGCCTTGTTATTCACTGAGTACAATTTGAGTTGAGTGTGTTTGAGGTGTTTCTGGAAAAGTTCTTGGAAAGGAGATAATCAGAACTTCCTACAAGTGGTTAATAGTGCTATGTTTTGTCACCATGAAATGCACATATTAACATTTAAAACAAATCTTGCAACTTTGTATCCTATTTGTAAAACTTGCAATGAAATTTCAGTGCTATCTGGCATCTTTATCCATATTTTATATTCTGCTATTGGAAGCCTCATCTCTTTTTTTAACATAAACATACAGGATGGTAAGAACCCCTTTGAGACATGGTAGCTGAGACTCTACTTTTAGATTTAAGTTTTTCACCAAGTATTACTAGTCATAACTTAACATGGAAAAGAATAAATGCCACCATAATAGAAAGTGGAATCAAATGTGGCCCAGGTGGTGCCTCTACATGGCAGCATCACTTAAATGTCTCATCATCCCCTAGGTGAAGGTAAGTGTGACCAGGAAGGAGGTTCTGGTGTGGGACCAATACTGGCATCAGCTCTCATATCACGAAGCAGTACACAAGTCTAATTATTATGGCACAAGGTTATAAGTCTCAGTGGGAAAATTCCCTTTCCTGAGGATCGTGCCTAAGGAATCCTTTTGAGCTGGTTTCTAAAGGAGGTAGCTTAGTGGGGTAGAAAGAACATAAGTAAGATGTTAGGATGTGGGGGGTCAATGTGTGGGCTTATACCTGACCAAGGGGCAGGTATGAAACCCAAGAGACACAGAACTAGGTTAAAATGTGAGGACCAGGGGACTCTCTTCTCCCTTTGACAAAGATTCCCCCAGTGACTGGTGTACTCTGGCTTCATCCACTCAGACACAGGTACAAGCAATCAGGGCAACACAGGATGCATTTGTCTTCCACTGAGCATGGCACATATCCCAATACGCAACCGAGTCTCGGCTGTGTTAATGGTTCCTGTGGTGCATCAGCACATACTTAACCCACTTTTTTCTCTAGTGCTCATTGAAGAGGCCAGGTAGGCCTTAATCTTCCTATCTGGTCTCCCATATCAAGACATCTGGTTCTTTTCTTGGCTTTGTAACGAAAAACTAGCTTTGTAACCTTGAACAGGTCATTTAACTTCTATGGGAAAGAAATGAAGGAAACTTCAATCTTTTGTCTTCATTAACAATTTTGTTTGGGAAAGAGGTAAACAGATGGAAAGTCATAGTACCACTGATAATAGCATACTTTGCTCATGCTGTGCTTCTTGAACATGATTAAGGAATTAGTCTTTGTTCCTCCTTTTTGAACCTTATTAGGAGATTGTAGTTTAAAAATAAACTGTTGTATGCTTAACATGGTTCTAACATCAGGGTAATGGAAGCCAGCAGGAGCTGATTGTAGATCCTGATTGTAGCTCTAGCTGATTGGAGCTGTCATAGATTTTCTTTGACATTTATGAATTATGACACAGATTATTATGTCCTCCTCTGAGTTCAAATTGGACATTTTGATAGAATGATAAATATTTGCCCTCTTTTTTTCTCCCACAGCATTTTCCACCCCAGCAAGTCAACTCTTTTCACCTCATGGTTCTAATCCTTCAACACTTGCTGCAACTCCTGTCCCCACCGCATCACCAGTCAAGGCAGTAAATCACCCATCAGCATCAGTGGCTGCCACCATTGCTGGAATGAATGTACCAAATGCTGTCCTTCCTGTGTTCCCAGGGCAGGTCTCATCAGCCATCCATACACCTCAGCCATCGATGCCAAACCCAACAGTGATCAGGACCCTTTCTTTGCCTACTGCACCTGTAACTTCCATCCACAGTACAACCTCTGCTCCTGTTCCTCCAATTTTTTCTGGTCTAGTGCCATTGCCAGCTCCCTCTGCTCCTCCAGCCCTGGCCCCTCAGGCTGCATCTACACCTCGGTCCACTCTCGCTTCCAGTGAAACGTTGGCTTCCACTTCTGCTCCTTATGCTCGCCTCTCCTTTTCTACCAACACTACTGCTGCTTCTACCAGTAACCCCGGTTCTGCCTCATTGTCATCAGTTTTTGCAGGTCTCCCTTTGCCCTTAGCACCAACCTCCCAAAGCATATCCAACCCAGCCCCTTCTGTGATTACCAGTGGTTCTGTTCCCAGTGTTGCTGGTTCACTTGGGATAAATAATCCTCTTTTGTCTGCTTTAAAAGGCTTTCTGACTTCGAATGACACCAGTTTAATCAACTCCTCTGTTTTGTCATCTGCTGTTACAAGTGGGCTGGCTTCGTTATCTTCTCTTACTAATCAAAGCTCTGACCCTTCTGCCTCAGCCCCTAACAAGTGCTATGCCCCATCAGCCCTTCCTGCCCCACAGAGGTCTTCCACTCCTGGGCTGGCCATGTTCCCAGGCCTGCCGTCTCCTGTGGCTGCCTCAACCACCACTCCCACTACACTGCCCATACAGTCTCCTTTGACTGTTGTTACGTCCTCTTCAACACCAGTGCCGGTGAGCTGTGGCTCTTCAGCTGTACTCTTGCATGGCCCCCACCCAGGTACTTCAGACCTGCACATTTCATCTGCCCCTGCTGTGACAACTATTCCTGTTATGATCAAAACTGAGCCTACCAGTCCTACTCCCTCTGCCTTTAAAGGCCCGTCTCATTCCACGAATCCCCCTTGTGGCACTTTAGGCTTGTCAGGGACACTGGGCCGTGCATACACATCTACATCAGTGCCCATCAGTTTGTCTACTTGCCTTAATCCTGCATTATCAAGTCTCTCCAGTTTGAGTACTCCCTTAAATGGTGCAAATCCCCTTTCCTCCATTTCCCTTGCGCCACATGCTTCCTCCACTCCTATTGCTCCAGTATTTACTGCTCTTCCTCCTTTTACTTCTTTGACCAATAGTTTCCCTTTACCCGGCAGCCCCTCTCTTAACCCATCAGTATCTCTTCCTGGGTCCTTAATAACCACTTCATCCAGCTCTGCCGGCTCCACAGCCATGCCTCCGCCTAGCTCTACAGCAGCTGTTCTCTCAGGACTCTCTGCCTCGGCACCAGTCTCGGCAGCACCTTTCCCCCTCAACTTGTCTACTGCTGTCCCCTCCCTTTTTTCCGTTACCCAAGGCCCTCTCCCCTCTTCAAATCCTTCCTACCCTGGCTTTTCAGTCTCCAGTACCCCTAGTGTTCCCCCTGCTCTCCCCTCATTCCCGGGGCTCCAGGCGCCCTCTACGGTCACAGCTGTCACACCACTGCCTGTTGCAGCCACAGCTGCCTCACCAGCGCCCGTCCTCCCAGGATTTGCTTCAGCGTTTAGTTCTAATTTCAACTCTGCTCTTGTTGCACAAGCTGGGTAAGTGAGTGGTTTGCAAACAGGATGAAATGGTTTCACCTAAATTTAGTTCATGGTCCTCCTGTTATTCATAGGAAAGTCAAAATTTAATTATTTGGTTGTCCTAAATTAAGTTTTTCTGGACCAAAAACTTCAGTCAGTGCTAAAACATTTTATGGCTCTTCAGTGATGCTAAGATAAATATATAAATATCAGTGCTTATTAACAATTTTAGGACTTAATATTTGGTAATTTAACTTCTGTATAGCAGAAATTAATAGGTGAACCATAGTTTTACTAAATTCAGAATAATATTCAGTAGAAATTGAGTGACTGATACTATAGTTCTTTCCAAAGGAGGATCTGTATTTGGCAATTTGCATATAGCAGGGAAAATATTTGTCAAACAGATATGTTGAATTCAGAATTTAATTGAAATGGAGTGACTGATTTCCTGGTTCCTTCCATCAGAGGAATAGATTGGTTTGTTTATATATCTTAAGATACTGTTTGACAAATACATAAGCAACCTGGCTTATCTGCAGTTTGACCTGTTTTTCTGTCAATTGTAGTTTATCATCTGGACTCCAGGCTGCAGGCAGCTCTGTTTTTCCAGGCCTTCTGTCCCTCCCAGGTATCCCTGGATTTTCCCAGAATCCTTCGCAG